TAGTAGTAGTAGTAGTAGTAGTCACAATATTCACAACAATAGAAATGAACAAGTCAAGCCAAGAGCCTGAACCACAAGAGATGTCTGAACAACCCCAACCTTGATCTCTGAGAGGAATCGTTTTCGACCCCAACATACCTCGATCGCGGACCGCCCCCAAGAGCCATTACAGATATAGATAGACCCTAAATCCCTAAGCGTTTCAAGCCTAAGCCCTAGATCCTATGAGCCTCAATCATGTCCCTGAAAGCCCTGGGCCCCTCAGATCTCCTAATCCCTATGTAGTCCTACTTCTTCGGCCTCAGTTTGTCAGAATATGGGAGTTTCCGAGCGTACGGGGTACCTTATTTTGGGATCCTTACAATAAGGATCCTACTATTTGGGGTACTACATTAGGGTCCCCTATTTTCGGAAACCCCCTTATCTGCCAAAGCCCTGGGCCCTTAACTTACCTATGAGGCCCTGCTCTCATTTACTGGGGGGGGGGGGCTCTCGGTGGTCTCAAGTCTTGTGGACGTGCCTTAGAGCCCAAATTCCGAAATCCATTCAAGCCTTGCAGACACTACAACCCTAAACCCTACACCCTAAACCCTAAACCCCAAGAACTCTTCAGGTCCTTTCTTGAGGCCCTCGGCCCTGAAACCCTGGACCTTACTACAGAGTAGCTATAGTCTCCGTTTTCGTTCCTTTTTCGGGTTACCTTTTAGGATCGTAAGTAAATGTGAAAGAAATCCCCGGGAAAGGAACTACCGAGACTGCAGAGTAGTATAGGGGCTGGCTGCGAAAATTACAAATCACTATTTTGGGGGGTTCCTTTTTCTCCTTGTTATGGTATAATATACCCCAAAACCCTATTCTAATTATTAAGGCCCTGCGGTGTCCTTTTTCTAGTTGTTATGGTATAATATACCCCAAGACCCCATTCTATAATTATAACGGCCCCTAAACCCTAAACCCTTATAGTAGCCCTTGTTATGGTAATAATATGCTCCAAAACCCCATTCTAATGATAACGGCCCCTACATTAGGCCCCTGGGCCGAGAAAGGCGGGCGCCGCGGAAGAGTCCTCTCCATGCTCGGGGTCTTCCCTGCTGCTGGCGATCAAGGCAGGGAGGGTTTGCCCAGAATCTAGGGGCCTCAGGGTTTTTTGGGTTTAGGGGTTGAGGGGTTTAGGGGTTTGAGGTTTGGGGTCTACGGTTTGGGCTCATGTATACTCTTCCCATCCATTCTATTCTAGAGGCCTCAATAATTACCTATATCGTTTTGGGGGTTCCTTATGATACTTATACTATAAAGGACCCTAACACCCGATTCTAATTCCCAAGGCCCGTATAGTACCCTAAACCGGAGGTTTTAGAGGGCTTTCGGGTTTCTAGCTTTTGGCAGAAACCAGACCCCTTAAATAAGGAATATAGCTTAAAACATGATTTAAGAACCCTAAACCCTAAATGCCATGCGAGACGGGAAAAAAGCCTGAACCCCGACTCCTTATTTAAGGGGTATTGGGCTTTTGGAGAAGGCTTCGGGTTTGTTTTTGGGGGTTCCAGGTCTGTCTGGAGCTACCCACGCCCCCAGGGCAGCAGAAAAACGAGTTTTGGGGCCCGGTCCTTTAGGGTTAGGGGTTTAGGGTTTAGGGGTTCAGAGAGACCTCGTTCAAAAGGGTTTAGGGGTTTGGGTTTAGGGACTCTTCCTGGGATTCCTTACACCTGCCCATGATGGCGCCTCAGATCCCTAAACCTGAAACGAGGGATAATTGCGAAATGGAAAGCCTGTTGCAAAAAGGGGTTTAGGGTTTAGGGCTTAGCTTCTAGGATTTCGGGGTTTCGGCTCAAGATTGCGGGATTCAGAGATGACTTGATTCAGGTAAGATTGAGATGACGATAGTCGTCGTGGTTTGGGGCCAGTAGATCCGGGTTGTGGGTTTCAACTGCAGAAGAAACGACCATAAACATGCCTCTTATTATGTCGAGTATTAAGACTCAGATCTCTCTCTGGCCTCCCTCTCTCTCCCTCTCTCTCTTTTCTTCTCCTTACCTCAGAAGTCGGGTTGTCAGAGAGTTGTCGATGCAATGAAATTGTGGTTTGCATGGGCAGTCGTCAAAGATGTAGCGTTTCCTTCGCGGCTGAGGTGTTTAGGTACTCAGATCTTCTGAACCCTATACGCCCCGCATCGAGTTGAGGCTTGTTATGTGCGGCTCTAGAATTGTCAGGCAATTCTATCGAAGCATCCTTAAAGACATTATCGGGGGGTCAGCAAGCATCTGAACTGCCGTGAGCCTATTGCTGGCGTGCCTGTAGCCTCGTTGCTAAGCCCTCTTATCTCCGAGCATGTGGTTATAGTACATCGCTCCTCACTGCCCCTGTTCGGTTTCGATTCCGTAATCTAGAGCTTGACTTTAAGCCCATATAATGAGCCTCAAGGACCTTGCGCCGTCCTGCATTGCGGAGTGTCCCGGCATATGCCCACATTTGCAGACACTCGTAATGCAAGCCCTGATGAACATCGATCCTACACCTTACGTTTGCGCCAACAGCGCGACCTTCATTTGCATGGACACGCCGGCTTGCGATAGCCTCTTGAACACAGCAGAGAGCTACGACCTCTTCCACGTGCCCAGAAGTGAGGAGGAACTCGAGAACACGTGCCTTGGATGCTTGTGGAAGACTTTCTTTTTCAGGCAACCTTGCCACTGCGTGCATCCGCCGGCCATATTTTTGGCACATCTTGACTTGGTTGGTGTAGGCACAGGGAAAAAGGCACAGTGCTAGCAACAAGTTTAATGTAGGGGCCGAATCAATTAGGGGCCTAAGTAATTACCTGTACTATTTTGGGGGCTCCTCATCTTAATTATAGTATAATGGGCCCCAAAACCCTGTTCTAATTATTCAGCCTCCTACATTAGAAGGAAGCCACCTAGAGCAAAGCGAGGTGCAACCCTCCGGACACATCCACGAGTACTGCGGCCAGCACTCAAGAAAGCACTGCGCAGCCTGGATGAAGAGTTGAAGCGGATCCGGGTATTTGCGTGCAAATACCCAGATCCGCCGACAAAAACAGGACTACTTCAGCTCGAGGGTTCTATGTTTTCGGGATATTCCTTCCGTGATGGTTGCCTGGGGGAAGGGTTGGGTTGCCTGGGGGAAGGGTTGGCGAGGCTCCATAGAGCCAAGTTGATGACGTCGCTCGGACAGGTCTGGTCCGTGCCGGTGGAATCGAATTGTGCCTTGATGCTGTGTGTTTGTGTATGTTCTAAGCAGTCTCAGTTTGTTTTGGTTGATGACGGGAAGTTCTCTGTTGCATAACCCCAAAGCTTGGCGTGCGGCAGAAGCGCCTTAGATCAACAAAGGCGGGGGTTTAATTTGAGGGCGACAGGTCTAGGGCTTAGTACTGCAGGGTTTAGGACTGCACACGGCTGCCCATAAAGAACAAGTAAACATTGTCAAGTCAAGCTGTTATCTTACACAATTTCAAACCCGACTGTAAAACCTAAACCCTTCTATTGAGTGTGAGCGCCGAAACCCTTCTATTGCCGCACCGTCAGGGAACAGGCAGATGTGATTCCGGCTGCGCGTAGCATCCCAGATCTGGGGCCGACCCCTTCCACGAGCTTGAGGACGGCACAGGGCTGCTGAGGGAGGGTTCAAGTTGAGCCACTGGAGATTTCTTTAGACTTTGACGGTGCTTTTGTTGTTGTTTCGTAGGTGGGTCGTTGGTTCAATTTAAACTAGAGCCACCTTGAATAGAGGCCTGTGCCGCTACATGAGCCATGCTCCTGCACCAACTCTTTGCAACGGGGGATTTCAGAATGCCTAAAGCTTACGCCGATGGCCTGACACTCTGTGTAGGAAGACTGCCCAGACCCCTGCCAGGAACATAATTTTTGCAGGATACAATGTTGGACTCCAACTTTGTGTGCAAACTTGTAACGTCTTTGACAATTATCAGCGCCATCGTGGAGTTATGAAGTTATGATGTAAAATTTGGAGATGTTTGGAGATTTGATGCGACTGTCCCGTTTGTTGGTCCGGCTCTCATGATCGAGCCCCTACCACAAAACCAGTTTAAGCCTAAAGCACCAATGCATTCTACGACCATGCGTGTTGGTTCGAACGTTTCTCTCTCGCGTAGTTGAGGAGTTTAAGGCAGTTTTGAGGCCGTGCGCAGAACGGGCCGCAAACCATTCAGCAAGAAAGAAACATAATCTTCCATGATGTGCTCGAGAGTGCAGGCTTAATGCTTAATTATCTGCCACTCAAGAGGCCGTTCCGCATATTGCCTTTGTAGTTCTCAAAGGCAAACTATTAATCCGGGACCCAGGTTTTGCTTTTATTTGCCGCGGTTCAATTGTTCTCAGATCTTTCCGTGTGCATTAAATTCAGGAAAATCCCCTACACTTAGATTCGATGTCTAAGGAAAATTTCTGAAGAAAGCTCGGAACATTGGAAGCTCTTCGAAGGTTCGAGAAGCCTATCGTACATCAACTGATTCATGACAAACTCAACACTACTGCAAAGACCTCCGACTTCTTAACCCTAAACCCTCAACATATGGCCCTCTCGGGTAGGGACTTAAAAAACCCTTCCACGACGAGGGCGCAGTCTGCCCTGACCTCCCCCGCGCCCACGGGCAGCACGTCTCAGACGTTGCAGGCCTGGCCTGACTCATAAGGGGTTAGGCGGGGATTTAGGGCTGAGTGTCATAGAGTGCAGCATAGAAAAGCACCGGAGCTTATAGAACGGCAGTATACGCTGTATACGTATAAGTATTGTAGTTTAGTAGGGTCACGTCTTGTTTTGAAGGTACGTTGACGGTTTGCAGGACTTTGCAGAGTTTGGGATCGAGTTACAGTTGTACGGATGTTTCAGCCTTTGCTTAAGTGACTGCTTGAGCTAAGCGTCCATGAGGCTTGGTGGGTTTAGGAAGCTTCGGAGAGCATGCCAGTTGTATTCGTACCGATGGTAGCAGTCCATGGCCTAAGCCATGAGCAAAGCATATATCCTGCACCCAAAATCAACTTTCATCAACACGCCGTGACAGCTGTTTGAGGCCGGGAGCGGGGAATCTCCGGCAGATGGCTTGCTTGGTGGCCTTCCAGCAGGAAACCAGACAGATCAGAGTATCTTGGCTCCTGAAGCCTACAGCGCATGCTTGGCTTTAGTTGAGGTTTGCAGAAACTGGGACTGACAAAGGGTTTGCAGGTTTGAGACACTTCGTCTTTGGGGTTTTGATGCGTGGTTCAGGCGGCTGCGCGAGAGAGTCTGAGGCTCACGGTGCACACGCCGCAAAAGCAACCCTTGAACCCAACGAGCGAGCAATGCATGAGGATTTTGTGGTTGTTCCAGAACCTACAGCCCAGATAAAAGAAAACTAGGCCAGGACACTTGGGCACTTACGTAGGGATTGGACCCCATCTAGAGTTCCTCTGCGTGAGGAGTTTCTTGTGAAGTCGCCCAGCATCAGCATGGGCTTAGCCTCCTGCAAGCCCTTGCCCGAGCGAAAACCCATAAACCTTAAACGGCCCTAGACCCTAAAATTCATGCATCGCCTGCATTCTTCGAGCCGCGAGAGTCCAAAACTCATGCAACATCGACCTCGAGCCTTGAGCACCTCTTGGACCCTAAACCCTATATAAACCCTAAACCGATAACCCCTAAACTGGAGTTCAGCTTTCGTTGGAGTTACGTTTCTGGTCCTGGCCTGCTTCGAGCGTGAGCCGAGGCTCTGAGAATCACTCGGTTCCTGCCGGAGGCCAGGGACAGCGGATACCGGTCCCTTTGACGTGGGTAGGGTTTAGGGGTTTAGGGTTTAGGGGTTTCAGAAGTCCTGATGCAAAAAAAGGGGTTATAGGGGTTTAGGGTTTAGGGGTCCTGCACACTCTGTACGTGTCGGATACGGCCGGATATTCGGAGAATTCTGTCGCTCTGCTCGCCAACCTTTTCCGGAGGGCAAACATGAATTTAAAGAAAGACGGCAGAGAGCTGGTCCTGCTCTATTCCTGCACAACTCTGACAAGAAAAGCAATGACACCCAAGATAGCCTATGCTAGCCTCAGTAAGCCTGCTTGTGTGTCCAGCGGGACATTGAACCTTTTTTTGGGGGTATCATGGCTGCAATGTAAGCCAATCCGGAAAGCTGTAGACCCCTGCTGCTTCGGACCTCCCTGTGAAACCGCAACCTCGCAGATTGGTATATTATTAGTCATCTTGTACGTACTGTTGAACCGACAGGAAAGGGAAAGCCCCGCTCAGAAAAGGCTTCCAGGATGCAGTTGCCATGGACTTCGCTGGCCCTCCGAGGCACGCGGAGGGAGTTTTGGGATAGCGAACCTACATGCCTACAGCATCTAGTATGGTTTCAGTATGATTTCCAAAATCTTATTTCGATAAAACAACTAGGGGGGCATTATCCTTCGGGGGTTTAAGTAGGTGCAGATTTGCTTCGTTTGTGGAAGATACAAGTGCGAAGACTTCGGTCGACAGCGTGGCCAGAAACCCAGAGAGCCCAATACCCCTTAAATAAGGAATATACCTTAAATTATAGGGCCTTAATATTATGATTTAAGGTATATTCCTTAATTAAGGGGTATTGGGCTCTCTGGGAACGCACTAGCAATGTCTGCGCGAACACAGATGCCGCTGCCTGCAGTTGCGCATTTCTTTGTGGTCTCCCCGCGCTGGTTTCGGGCTAGGTTGTACTGGCAGTATAAGGGCCTTAACAATTAGAATAGGGTTTTGGGGTATATTATAGATAGTACCATGATAGTAAGAAGCCCTAAGGAATATTATGTGTGATTATCTAGGCTTTTGCAGTAACTACTACTGGGGATCTGGCTTTAGGATTTCTGAACCCTAAACCCTAACCCCTTAACCAGTATGGATTTCTTGTATACCGCAGACACCACATATAAGTCGCCACAGACCCCTGAACCTCCCTCCCAAAAAGGCCCGGGTTTCAAGTCAAAAGGCATGACATGAGATATCAGTGGCTTAAGTAGGGTTTAGGGTGCAGGGTTCAGACGGGGCATGTACCAGCCTGTGCAAAAGGGTTCAGGGTCTAGGTCGCTGCAGGTTTCCGAATCCAGGCGCAAAACCCTGCCGATAAGACTAGACCCCAAAATCCCAAGCCGCAAGACACTGAAGCTGCAAGCCCCAAAAGCACTTCAACCCGGAGCCAGCAAGATCTAAACCACCAAACCCCTCAACCGTAGTAGAGCCTGAGCCCTGAACCCTAAACCGTGCACCCTACTACCTGCAATGCAGGCTTGTCCTTGCTGCTAGGTAGGAGGGAACAAAACCCAGACCCCCCAACTACCCTCTAATATACCCTAAATGACCCACTATCACGGGCCATAAGGGCTCTATTACAGGGCACTTGGGGGGTGCTGGAGACCCTGAACCCTAAGCCCTAAACCCCCTAGGATCTCGAGCTCCTCAGCGGCTTGCGGAGGAATCCTCCGGTAGAGCCTTTTGGCTCTGGGATCCTTACTAAACGTTCCAAGTCTTGTATAGAAAGGGCTTAGGATTTAGGGTTTATAGGGTTTAGGGTTTAAGGAAAAGGGTCAGGAAAGCGCTTATAAAGTCTTCCCTACACAGCCGAATTCCCTCTGCAGGATAGAGCTGTTGATGCTGTCTTGCTCCAGGTCGCTCGGTTGGGCCCTGGCGATTGCGCTGGCTGCTGGCCTCTGGCGGTGAGTAGGATTTGCGGTTTGGGATCAATGCCACCAAAATTGCCTTAAATCGTGAACACTTAACCCTACATGCAAACTTCAAAATCCTCTTTCTCCGAGACCGTCTTTTCCTGCTGTTGGTTGAGTGTGCCTGACATGTTTTCGTCAGTTCAATAGTCGCAGCTTCATGTAGTTCGAAGGGCTTGTGGGTTAAAAGGCCCTAAACCCTAAAAATCCTAAAAGCCCTCAAAACCCTAAACCAAAATGACTCACCGTGGGGACAAGCAGCAAAGCTGCATCCGCCAACTTTTGTCCCAGACCCCCAGCAAAACTGCCGGGCACTGGGTTGTGGCGCCAAAAAACGCCACTACTGGGAGGTGTCTCGATATACACCACATGTGAGCCTGCTCGGATTTGCGCAAGTACCATGTTCAACTTGATTGTTGCCCTGCTTTGACAGCTTTCGAGCGACCACCCAGGTAGTAAATGCCAAGCATTTCGTTTATGGAGTCCTGCTGGACCAAGCGTTCCAGTGCAAGCAAGGCGTGATTCAGGCTTTCAGGTTTGGCTTAGGGTTTACGGATTTTTCGGTTCGTGGAAACGGGGGTTAGCGTCAAAAGTGCATGCTGCGATGCGGCGATGATTGTGAAGAAGAAGAAGCACGATGTTGCTTGCACAAGGGCTGTAAAACTAGCACTTGGAACCAGGAACAGGGCCTGATGATTCAGAACTGCTTACAGAGTGGCCCACCACCATGCTGCTGGACAGGGTGCCCTGTGCCACATCCAGCAGTCGGCTTAAGGTTCAAGGTGGCGACAGGGCGGCTTGCCGTGGCTGAGATTGGCAAGGTGAGGCCACTGCCCTAGAAACCCCGAGAGCAAGTTCAGGCCAACAGTTGGCGTTGTGGTTGTGACATGGCATGCCGCGTCCATATCATGCTAGCCAGCGATATACCCTAGTTTGTTCTTCCTGGGACTAGTTGCTACGTAGATTGTTCCATTTGCGGTCGAAGCAGCTTGAAAGCTTTGACTTCCAGATTTGGCTTCTATATTCCCTGTACACAGAGACCCAATGCTGGTACTGGTTAAACCCTAGGCCCTAGACCCTAAACCCTAAAGATCCTTCTCTCAGGACCTTGACACTCTGAACCCTGAGGCCTCAACTGTACCCTAAGTCGTTTGTGCTACGCAGCTTATCTTGCGCTCGGAGTGGAGTGAGCTGCTGTGCTCACGCGAGCTCCTTAATGGGAGCTTCTTCGGCTTCGCGATGTGCAATCTAATGCGAATTGGGGGTGCGTTCTGGAAATTAGGGTTCCCTTTTCGGAATCGTTATATAGATCCGGCTATTTGCAGTCGATTTGGGTCCGGTATATTGCCGAAACTCCCAATTTGCTCGCTGGTGGAATCTTGACTACCTCTTGCTGTCTTATCCGCAGGAGTAAGGTTGAATCTAGCTGACACCCCAGGCTGTCCACCAAGCACAGACATCGATGGCACGTCGCGCTGACGTGAATGCCTGCAGCAGCACCAAAATGTTTATGCTGCGACTACACCTGTGAAGTGGAGTCGTGAGGAGTGCAGAGTCAACATTGAGATGTTGTTAGTTTTCGAGATGCTCAGAGCACAGACTACTAGTACCATGCCTTGAATCGTACTTAATGATCATTACACGAGTGTAAAATCTAAATTGTGTTCAGTACAAAACCCCCTAAACTCCTTTATCTAAAACTTGGGTACTGCCCCATCTCAGTAACAGTTGGATAATGGTCATGCTCTAGATATAAGGCCCTTCAGAGTACCAGTACTATAGACTGTTACTACATGGGGGCAGCACCCAATCTAAAACACCGATCGTCAAATGTAAATTCACGCAGGCCTCTATATAAGATGGGACTCAGGCGTTCAGGAATTGAAGCCTGGGTTCGTTGTACGATATGTATGTTGCGTCAGTTACTGTCAAAGTTGTCTACAGTATAGCCTTTATTATAGTCAGTTCAATCATTTTATCTGACAAGCGCCCAGAATTCGGTGGGGTTCGGAGGTGGGATGGAGATGTTTAGTTCTTCTTTGCATCCTCCTTTCGGGCGGAGCGTGCGGTGAGCAAGGGTAGAAGATTGGACAGGGCTTCAAGGGCACCCCAGGTTGAGTCAGCATTCCGGCAACGGCTCCGGCTCGTAGTCGTGGCCCTTATATGTCTTCCCAGACCAGCTGGCTGCACAAGACGGCAACCCAGAAGCCCAAAAGCTCCATGATGGTCTGTGCAAGAATTTTCAAGACGGCGGCTTCCGCCAATTCAGCGAGACTCAACGCCAGCGATGGGTACAATCCTGCCGAGCCACAGATTCAAGAATTCAATTTCAACTGTAGCGGCATCCCTAGTTTGGTTCAAGGTATATGCTGATTTGGGTTGTTTTAGCCGTTCTGGTTCAAAAAGATTCTTGATTCCGAAATCGAAACAGCGGGACATCTCTAGCACACAACACTAGGCAGTAACTGCTAGGCTTTCACAGCACCAAATTTTTCTCTATGTAAGGATGATTAATAGCAGTGTCCCGTTATAGTATTGTGTAGAGTGACATTGTAAGCGATAATGAAGTTTATTATGATGTTGATGATCTTGAGATATCCCCTTATAGTCCTCATAATGTACCCCAAAGCCCTGTTCCTGGAAGCAAGCTGTGAGTGCGAACTGGGAGCAGCTTCCTTGTCGGGTTGACATTATGTCAGGGGCTGTGTAAGTCTCCTCATCCGCGAACTAAATTGAGCCTCAGATCCCGCTGGTTCCTTTTTTTGGTTTTGGTTTGCTCAGCTAGGTTGTGAATACAAAGCTATCAGCACCGAAGGGTCCCCGGCAATGCTTCAAAAGATTGCACCTTAAGCTGGGGACTCGCCCGTGCAACCTCCGAGACGGAGAGTGCGAGACAGGAGTGGGGAACTTGAGGCGTCAACCGGGAAAAAAAATCTCAGCCTTTTCTTCCCTAAACCCGGCACCCTCAACCCGAAACACCTGAAGACCCATAGAAGCCGCGATGCATCGGACCCATGCCACAAGGACTCGCGACCCTAACCAAAGTAGAATAGAATAGGGTTTGGGGTGTATAATACTATAAACAGATCAAGGAATCCTACTGTAGGGAATGCGATTCTAATTACTCAGGCCTCCAAACTATGCTACAAGTAAATGTCGAAATACGATCCTTCGGAACAGCATACTATTTGCAGCCGTACTTATGCATAGAACAACCTGCTGAATCCGCTGGTCCGGCTAATTCGCCGAAATCATGAATCCGGTGTGGGTTTAGGGTTTAGGGTTAGGGGTCCTTTGTCCTTTACCAAGGAGGAAGGGCCCTCTCATGCCGGGCATGCGGGGACCATGCGCTCGCTCTCGTGGTGCTAAACGCCCCAGGGACCCAAATCCTACTTAGCTAACCCTAAACCCTGAAACCCTAAACCCTAAAACCCTAAACCCTAAAACCCCAAACCCTAAACCCTAAACCCTAAGACCCCAAACCCTAAACGCCCCGACACCCACACCCAGAAGGATTCGTCGTTCATGCTCAAGCTTGGGTTCAGAGCCCTCCGTTGGCACAGCGGCTGCCCTAATCGCGGTGATTGGGCATGGCCACTGCAAGCTCCCCCAGCACCGCGCCCAGACCAGGGGAAAATCACGAATCTTCAAATCAAATTAAACCCCAGATGCGATGAACTAAAGAAACAAGACGAACCGAGCCTTCAAACCCGAAGCTGTATGCTGTAAGTGGCTTTTGGTGGAGGCTTGGGTTTTTGGGCTGCAGGGTGTGAACTTCAGAATTCTCAGGCTGGGCCCCGGCTGAGCTTCTTCTCACGAAGGAAAAGTGTAAAGACGTAACATGTGAAACCCAATAGGCCTAAGACCATAAACCCGAAACCGGTATAGGGTAGTGGTATTCTGGCATGCAGAAGGACGTTTAGGATTTAGGCACCCGCAAATCAATACCGCTGTGCCCCAGGCAAATCCATGGAGTCCCGAAGCAAAAAAAATCAGTACCGGTGAATTTGTGTCTCGAAGCTCTTTTGGCTAGATCTCCAGAGATGCAACATCTACTCTGTCCACGGACCTTTAGAGACCAAGACCGAATATTTCGCTACACGACCTTCCGGCAAGACCCGATTGGTCTGCAGCTCAAGTGGCAGTCAGCAGCAGTCCACCACGAGTTAGCTTGTCTTCCACAACATGGCCGTCCATGCATGCCTGCCGCTGGCCAACTGCAAGATTCTGCACTTTGTTCGGCACGCGGAGGCAGAGTCCAATGCCGCAGCGCACAGATTCCCCAAGGATTCTCAAGATTACCTGGATGCTTATGCCGATGAGAAATATTTTGATTCGGTCCTGTCCGAGAAAGGGGAGGCGCAGTGCAAGGAATTGCAACAGCGGATTGCAAGTTCTCCCTGCATTACATACGAGGCCGTGGTGTGCTCTCCGTTGCGGCGCACACTGCAAACTGCAGTACGGGTGTTTGGTGAAGAGGTGCCGTTTCTTGCTGCCGAATGTGCCCGTGAGTACAGTCAAGGACACGCACGTCCGTGTGACTGTCGACGGGAGCGGCACCTACAAGAAGCAGACTTCCGAGCAGATTTCAGCAAGGTTCCGGAAGGTGCGGACACCTTCGCTGCAAGGCCTGAGACGGAAGAAGAGCTGGACAAACGGTGCCTCGAGCTTCTCCAGTTGCTCGATGCACTTCCCTATCAATGCATCGCCATTGTTTCTCATACCGGCTTCCTGACGCGTTTATTTGCCAAGCACTTGCGCTGGCCAGGGCGCAGTGCATTCTCCAATGCTGAGCTGCGATCCGTGGTGGTACAGTGGACGCCAACAGCTGCGTGAACAGGGACAAGCCAGCGAAGTTGAGATGTGCAGTAGGCCTCGCAAGAGATACCCCCGGCGTGAGTGTCAAGAAACCGCCGTGAGTGTCAGCTTGAGCTGCATCAGGGTTGTACTCCAGCCTGGTCAGTCAGGATCTGCATGTCAAGCACCTGTCATTTTCTAGAAGAATTTGGTTCCTTAAGCGGGATATTCATAACGGGATCCTTTTCGGCGAATGATAGACATCCGTGAAGCCTCGCTCGGCATCACCCGAGAAGCCCTTCTCACGACTCCTTCTGTTGCTCTTAGTATCACTGCGTGGCCAGGTCAAGCATAAACATAATGGAGGAACCTAAATAGTTACCTATATTATTTTGGGGTTCCATATTATAATTATAGTATTAAGGGCCCAAAAACCCTAGTCTAACTGTTAAGGCCCCTATACTAAACCAACTGGACCAGCATGGCTTGACTTGGGTACGGAAAGCCCTGTCTGACCTAGCCACGCCACCACCAGCACCACCACCATCAACAGTATCACCATCATTGCCCCTCCCTGTACTTGGTCTTCATGCTAAGCCCCAAACCACGGGCCCCAAAACCCCCCAACAGTCCCAAATCCTAAACTCCCAAAACCCCGACCCCATACATTTCTGAAACCTAAACCCCAAACCCTAAACCCCCAAGCCCTAAACCCTAAGCCATTAAACCCTGAGCCGTACACCCTATGCCCAAAAGACCCTAAACCCTTTAAGCCCTCTAGACCCTAAACCCTCTGTGCCCTATAGACCCTAAACCCGAAAGCCTAATATAGAAGCCTCAATGATTACTTATACTATTTTGGGTGCTCCTTATTATAAATACAATATAAAGGGCCCCAAAACCGTAGTCTAAAAATTAAGGCCCCTATATTTTATAAATCCTAATCCCTAAACCCTAAATCCTAAACTCTAAAGCCCAAAGCCTAGCCCACAAGGCGCCGAGCCATGATGCGACCTCCGGCGGCGCCTCACTGGAGAAGCCAGGCAGGTCGCCCCCGTTTGTACAATATGTATGTGTATATATATATATATATATGTTTATTTATTTATTTCTCTCTCTCTCTCTATATATATATATATTTCAATATATATGGTACTATCTATAATGGGCTATTAGGTATATTGGCCAAGAGGATCAAAGGGGCTTACCTTTCGTGTTAATCTTTGTTTCTGTCAGGTGTGCAGGATTAAGGGACCTGTAGTATTAGTAGGTAACTACAGTCAGGGCTGTGCTAGCCCAAATTGGGGTTGTCGTGCTTCAACACCCTCGTCACCAACTGATTACGTCCACCATCCTTGAAGTCCAGCTTGGAGTGGCAAGTCTAGGTGAGTTCAAAATATCGAGGATGTTGGAGGACGGCTAGGTGCTGAGACGGAGAAACCAGACAGTCAGTCTCGTGCATTTTTGGCTGGAGGAAGATGCTTAAAGGTTCCTTTGAAGTGTAGCTCATGCTTTAGGGAGTTTAGATTGACTGTTTTTGGGTGCGGTCGCGGGGATGTCCGCATTAGCTGTACGTAGAGCTTTTTGTGGTTGACCTGTTCTACATCACAATCAATGCAGCAGATGGCTTGCGAGCCTAGAGTTGCGGGCTTTGAAATCCTTCTTGAAGCTTCGGGGTTTCGGGATCACATCACCAACGCCAAGAAGCGCATAGGTAAGGGCCGTTCTGGATTCAAGGCTTTGGCCTAATATAGGGGCCTCAATGATTACCCATCTACTTTTTTGGGGTGGGTTCCTTATTATGGTGATAGTATCATATTCCCCGAAACCCTAGTTTAATTATTATGGCCTCTATCCTAATTAATGTGTTCGTACTCTTTATCTGGACGCAAGGCAGGCGATAGTTTCGCCTGGAGATTGAGACTTTGTCATCTATGCCAAGCCCATAAGCCCGACATGAAACAATTGGTTTAGGGTTTAGGGCTCCAACTCCGGGCGAAGTGCAAAGCCTGTTGCAAAAGGGTGCAGGGAATATTCATAGCCCAAACATGCCCAACCCTAATCTCTCGGCCCAGCTTTCGACCATGAGGAACTGTGGTATATGCCACATGCGAACGTTTGTTCATATTCATCTTCCGGGGCTCAGCGCGTAACCTGTCAGCATCTGTAAGACTTTCGGAGGGAAAGTGATCCCTTCCTGAACCCCATAGGCTCTAAACTCTAAACCCCAAGCAACACACGAATCCGCAGGTTATCTGTTGGATTCCAAGCTTGCCGTCTCGTCCAGCAACTGGCAATTTGCAACGTCCGCACTGTGAACTGGAGCCCACAGCCTTAACCTTCAGCTGTCTGTATCCACCCTAGATTGCAGGCATAGTCCTAGCTATTCGGGAGACCCCAAAGAGCAACATCACAACACCCCAAACCCAACCAGCAACATGCCCACAGGGTCCATACGTTGTGGCGGGTGGGCCGGCCAAAGCGTGCGAGCCACAATATGCCGATTAGAGCTGGCACTGGTGACTCAGTTCAGAAGCTTCAGAGCAATACTTCCGAGTCCCGGGTTTAGGGAAATATCCCTGGTCTCCTACACTCTCTGCTAGCCTGAAAAATATGCTGATTAAGCCTAAGACTTGGCGCCACGTGGTTTCAGGAGAAAGAACCGATTCATGTGATCAGGTTTACGGTTTACCGCTTTTCGCAGCCTCTTTCTCTCAATTGGTAAACACGAGCTCTAGCGGCATCTTGGAAACTTCATGGAGACTTCCCTGGTAAAGGACCTTGAGTTACGGTTCGTGTAAAGATGTCATCAAGTCTCGGATGTAGGTTTTGGAGTTGTGGCTGTACGAAGAGATATAGACTATAATCTACTTCGAAGATAGTTAGGCCGTTAGGCCCTATACAGGCATATGCTATACATTCGTACTGCGTAGGTTTAGGTGGTTGAAGGACGCCCTGAGTGCGGGTATCGGATGGGTAGCGCCCAGCGCTTTTCGCAGCTTCAGGGCTTCGGACGCGTCCGAGTAGGGTGCCCCTCTGAACATGGGTAGTTCTCTCAATTAAGGTCCCTTGTAGGGCCCCGTTTATAAGGGTGCCGTACTATATTTGGGACCTAAAAAGGGACCCTAATTTAAAGAACTACCCACATGTTGATCGAGCTAGCAGCAGCGCAGCAGACTTACTTCGTTGAGGAGACCACATTTCCACACAGGTGCAGAACATGTATCAGCATTCTGAGCTGTTCGCGGACTTCACACCTTCTTTCTACCCTACCGGGGTCACCCATGTGAAACCTAACAAATCTGCAGAACTCCATTGTGAGACAGGCGATTGCCGTAAGACCTCAGGACTGCAGGAAGAGACATCGGCAGTTTGGCAGAAGCAATACAGAAGCCTAACCATCCTAATCATGGCCAATCACGGTACTGTATACTACAACATGCCCCTAAACTCTATCAAATTTTTTAGCCCCCTACATTAGGCACATAACGAAGATGAAGGTTGCAATGTTAAAAGGCCGGCACATTCCTCAAGACCCGATTATTTGGCCGATCATTGCATAGCCTGACTGCATGTTGCTGCGAACCCAAAGCTACAGGCATTGTACTTGTGCCAGAGTCCTGAGAGGGCACTTCACATCAAGCTGGATACCTTCAGAACCGTAGGAATATGAGCTTGTTCTTTAGGATGGTCGGCGGAGTCCTGCTTTCCACATAGGACGTCACTACTTCTTACTTGTCCAGATGAGACCCGCGACACACCCCCGGCTGATCTGACAGTTGGTGGCAAGGTCCCCGAAAGTTTCAAAGTACCCTACACCCGAACTGCTCTGAGGAACTATGCGGGGCCGGTGGGGGCCCCAGAAAACTGGTGCGACCTTATCCGCTGCGGAGTCTGGCATTCAGATCATGAACAGGCTTCTGACAGAGCTTCCGAAGTTCGTTATGACTAAACCCCAAAGCCCAAAGCCCCTAGACCCTAGCCCTAAAACTACAATCCTGTGTGCGGCGGTAGTTCCAGAAGTCCCAATGACGCGTTCAAGGCGTCTCCAGGGCAAGTGCCACCGGAGCAGGCGAGTCCCCGACTAATCTGTCGATGATGATTTGATTTATCATTATCATTGTTGTTTGTTGGCATTTTGCATTGTTATGATTATGATTATGACTCCTATTGCTGTTGTTACTATTACTATTATTGGGACTAGGCTTTTGTTTCCGATGCACTCAATGTTGGTGCTTCCACCTTCCTCCCGCGGTACAGTCCTTTTTGCCATAAATTTCTGGCATTTTATGAATAGGTTTTCTGTTTATGCTCCTATGCTTTGTTCCCAACTCATGCCAGTTCGCCAGCCCCCTTGCCCGTTTTAAGGATGGATGCTTTCAGGCTGCAGCCATGGCCACTTGTTGCATCTAAAGTGACACGGGGTGTTTTGTGTGGTATTCGCTGTACATTCGTAGTTCAGGCTGCTCTTGCTGCTTGAGTTATGTCACGACTTTGTTAACGCCAATGATTCGCGAGTGGCCTTGGGCTTTTCGTTCTCCTATTGTCTTGCTGTAGAAACTCGTCAGCAGTATTATCATCATGGTCATTGTCACAGTACCACTAGTTAATCGGCGTCGTCGTCGTGGTAGTAGTAGTAGTAGTAGTAGTAGTAGTAGTAGTAGCAGTAGCAGTAGCAGTAGCAGTAGCAGTAGCAGTAGTAGTACTAGCACTAGTAGTAGTAGTAGTAGTAGTAGTAGTAGTAGGAGGAGTGGTAGTAGGAGTGGTAGTGGTAGTGGTAATGGTCGTATTGTAGTAGTCGTCGTCGTCGTCGTCGTCGTCGTCGCAGTAGTCTTAGTGGTAGTAGTGGTGGTGGTAGTAGTAGTAGTAGTAGTAGTTGTAGGCGTCGTCGTAGTAATGGTGTGCTACTATTATCATTTTCATGATTGTTAGTAGTATTACTATTGTTGTTGTTATTATTATCATGATTACTACTACGTTCCACATTTTTAATATTATTTTCTCACTGTTATATGATTACTATTACGTACTGGTATTAC